TGCTTGCAGCTGGACTCCAATAGCTCTCCTTGCGCCTGATGTTGCTGCTCATCTAAAGTTTGACAGGGCTCTCTGAGGACGGCTCTCTCCCTCAGAGGTTATGCCTGTCTCGCAGTTTTCTATCATCACTTTTGTCAGCTTATCTTTTATGCAAACAGGTTCTAATCTTGAGAGCAGCCTTCCCTTCACTCAATACTGCAATGAAACGCAAAACGACAAGCGCATGGGGAGTTGTCTTACACTGTTCTGTTGATGCTCAGGTTTTTCAGAAAAAAAGAGAAATCCTTGGTTCCTTTTCATGCAACTTGGATGGATGCAGACCTGCTATTTATCAAACATTCTTGTTTGATCATTGGCGACGTGAATTGAATTTCATGTATAGTAAAATGCATTGGTGATTGCGCTCCAGTTGGTGTTCCCACTGTCACGACACCTGCAGGCGGGCGACGTTCGATGATTGTAGCCCAGGCAAAAACTTTTAATGGGAACAAAAACAATTGTGTGGTCTCATTTCTCTACACAATTATCACTCCTTCATTGTTACGCTGTCAAACGAGGTGCACAAAGGGACAGCGGTGTGGCCGTCTTTGATGGTCTCAACCCAGTCTTTACACCTAATTAAACAGCCACATCAGCCCATTTCATCACCTTGGCTGCCATTACAAACCGACTTCAGTTGTACATTTCCAGGTGTAACTGTGTCAAGAATTATGAGGGAATAAAACCTCATCAAGAGAATTAGCGCGGTCTGTCATCAAAAGTCATTGTTTCATAATCGGACGAAACACAAAGATTTCAAATTGGTGCAAAAAAAAAAAAAAAAATCTGGGGCAGGTACGAGAATAATGAGACACACTGCGGTGGTGAACGGCTGCACGGCAGCTGCTGTGTTGTGAAAACGCAACACAAAGCTTGAAGGGATTCCATATTGTCTCAAGGTAAAACAACAGAGCGGCTGGAGACGGGGGAGGAGAGGACGCCCAAACAGGCAGGACGGTGAGGAGAAGAGGAGCCAAGAGCAGGTAGAGCCACACTGCCAAGTGCCCACAGCCATTCACGGGCTGCCATTGGGCCCGTCAACATACTCCCAGACCAGCTGTCTCAGATGGACGTGAGCAGAAGAATGGTGGGGCTGGGGGGGGAGGTATGATAGAATTCCTCCAGAGCTCTTGTTCGTTCCCATTTCAAGGAGAAAACGCAGAAATGTAACTGATGTTAGAGTCAGATATCAGGAAAGACAGGCTTAACTACTTAACTACTCTTGTACTACTAAGTTGCAAACACGGGTAAATCAAATAACTTTTATCAGGATACCTTTTCTTTTTTCTTTCAGTATTAAATACGAATGCTACCTGTCTTGCTGCTATTATCTTTCCGCCACAGTCTCAGTGTAGTTATTGACGAAGCAAAGGAATATGCAAAGTATTTCTCATCCCACTCCTTTGATCCGCCATCTTTGTAAGACAAACCAGGTGAAATCATCAAAAATTAAAAACCACAGATGTCAGAGACGATGACACGCGTCTCGTTTGAAACATTGGACGCGCTGTTATGTTTCCAGCTGGCTGCTGCCATACGGATCTAATTAAACCTGAGAAACACATCTGAGACAGAGGTTGAACTTTCTATTAATCAGTGATTTTTTTTTTATTCTCACATCAGCCTTGAACTGGACTTATTAGAAGTTGTTCAGAGCTGACAAGTTAATGTATTTAAAGTGTTACAAAGATTTGAATAAGTAGTTGCTGTGACAGAAAAGGGCAGCAGCCCCGTGCATATCATCACAGTGAGACTGGAACCCTGGTCTGTAATTGGCACCCATACTGACGAAGACACAAAGACAGATATTGTATATGGGCTTGTGTCGCAGATGCGATGAAAGAGTTAGCGATGACAGGCCTACTGAGGTTCTATGTGAATCACGGTTCGCTGTCATACATGTCATGTGCCATGTATGCCATGATGTACGACGCTGTCACGGCACAGCTGTTTACAACCCATTCCTAAGAGTTTACAGACTTTGGAAATTACGTACCTTTTTATATCCATCTTTGAAGACAGTATCATTCTTTGTCTTTGTCTTAAAAAAAACATGGATGTGATTCTGCGTTTTGTTGTTGAGCAATTCAACCCAGGAGTAATACAAATGATACGCACTCCCTGCCAACTAGCTGCAGCTGGGAAACATATGAACTGTTTCTCTCCTGCCAGTGAGTAATGGAGGAGTGAAAGATAAAAGACTGTCACATTGCCCCCTTTGTCATCATCATCATCAGAGTGAGTGCAGTTTCATTAAATAGTTTTCTGTGCACTGCCTTGCAAATGTAAAGAACTGGACCACCGAAGTAGCCAAGCCACACGCTACGATGTCTATGGATCTCACAGCTGAAGCACGGCCGGCCTTTAGAAGAACTCCTACATGTGGTTGCCTCTCAGAGCCTCACTTTCACTTCAGACTTCACTTAATTTATGACTTAATTGTCAGGCTAGTCCTCAATGCCAAAGCACATATTGCCTATTTTGTCCGAAGCCTCCTCGCCGTGTTTGACCTTCAGGGATCTTTATCAGGCACAATTTGCTAGCTACGGCTAGCTAACTAATTATATTTCATGAGCCGACCCTTCTACGTTTGAGCCTGATGGTCATGCTTTGATTAGCCTCCTGCTTTTTTATCACCTCTCTGCTTCCACTTTGTTATCGCACTTTCTGCTGACAGCCGCGCTGCCTCAAGGTTGCAGACTGCAGCGCTGCATCAATTTCACATTTGTGTCACAGGAGCTCAACAGCGTGCCTCATTTAGATCAATCTTTTGCAGCTCTGATCCAGATTGCTGCTCTGAAGTGGCAAAACAATCTTTAAGTAATACTTCTACATCTACACGATGGGTATTTTTGCCGAAAGTGTTTTCTGTAAGTATTGTACAAGTAGAAGCTGCAGGAATATCCAATAAATGATCTATTAAGTTACACAAAATGAATGAAAAGTATGTGTTGGGGCTTTTTGAAACAGAACAGCCCTCTGGGTGTATTTTCTTTCATATTCTAAAAAAAATTTAAATTATCTGGATGAAAGTGTTTGTGGTGAAACACAAACAAACAAACCATTATATGGCAAAAAATGCAAACACAGGAAGTAGAACTGTTATAAAAATGAAAACAAAGACAAAAATGTAACCCAAAGACAAAAGGGGAAAATTAGCTTAGCTTAGCAAAGTGCTAGAGTCGGCATTTTATATCTGGCAGATAACTTGAAAGACACAAAAAAGAACAAAATTAGCTTTTTTGACTGCGGTACCAGTTTTGTCCACCAGATTTCATCATCAACAACAACTATTTCATTATTATTGTTATTATTATATAATATATGCTATATATATTATATATATGTTTATATATATGTTAATAATAACAACAACAACAACAATAATAATAATAAAGCCACACAACAATAATAATAATAATAATAAAGCCATTAGAACCAACAGGAACAGTGTCTCTGGTCGTGTTCTCAACTGTTGACAGAAATCAACATTCTTTCACAGGGTATTATGGACTCTGCGTGTATAAACACACATCTATCTTTCTTTTATAAACACACACCGTTCCATTACCCCGACTGTCCTTACATGCCTTAGAGGTACTTCATTCATACCTGTGCCAGGAGCCCCATCCCTCGCCTGTTTCAATGACTCCCATTGTCATGCAGTGGTTGAAACGGTTAGTCATGCAACACATTACAGTAAATCCATCCTCCCTCCTTGGATCTCCTCCAACCTGCAGACCATGCCAACCGCTCGGCTGACGATGCAATCTCCACTGCTGTCCACTTATCCAGCTGGACACATGAGACTCGTATGGCAGGATGCTTTCAACAGACTCCAGTTCAGCATCCAACATAATTATCCTGCAGCAGGAAGTACACAAGTCTGGACAGTCCGGAGTTTGATATCTATATGTGCAAATGCTAATTGGACATTCTTTCTGGAAAACCCACGAAGGCTCAGTTTGGCGAGGATATCAAACATATGGCCCGTGTGCCAGGGGGGTCCGCTAGGAGGTTCATTCCGACCAGCTTGATAAATTTTGTAGAAAGCAAAAGAAGCACATGCACTTCATGTTGTTTGGCCAAATTATTAATTATTATTTCATTAAATATTTGCATAAAAAGGAAAGGAAAACAAGGGCTTATTATTATTTATTGGTAATTATGTGATGATTGTACTGCCCCTAAACCAAATTGATGTTTGACACCCCTGCCTTATACAGTGCCCAACTCTTGGACAGAACCAGGAGACCCTTCAGTGAAGAACAGCGGCAGCTGGACATCTGCTCACCTCGCCTCCAACTGCAAAGCACTTAACATTACGTGAGCTAACCTTTCAGAACATCCTGTCTGACACCATCAGGATGAAGAACAGCTTCATCCACCAGGTTGTCAAGAAAAATGAACCCCTCCCCGTCCACTGCTCTTCAGTCCCCTGCTCCTGGTCTGACCTCCACACATTACTACACACACAAATTATAAATGTAGCCGCCACCACGACATGTGTATAGGTGACCTTTATATTCCTCCACTCCATCCTTTATCACAGACAGGACAGTCATCCTGGCTTCTAACGACACCATCTGCACTAACAACCTTTTAAACTCTTGAAGTATTTTAATTGATTTTCATTTCTGCTAATTTTCATTGTTATTTTCAGCCACGGTCAAATCCCAAGAGAAACACATTTTACCACATCACTTGCATCGGGCACATAGTTGTAGAGGTGTACGGCTCAATGGAAAAGTAAACCTCTGTACTACCTACACCATGACCAGGCACTTTTATAACAAACAATAATGTTGTACCAGAAAGATCAGCTCATGTGCCCAGGCTTCACAACTGTATTCATAGCACCCCCTACAGGAACTGTATGTCATCTACTGCATACTTTTCTTCTTTAAAAGAAGGCCTCAGTTGTCTCTGTGTGTGTGTGTGTGTGTGTTGACACGTCTCACCCTAAAAAACTCTTTGGTGGAGCCTGAGTCCAGAGTGCCGTATGCTATCTCTGTCTGCTTGGCCAGATCTTCGGCACTCTCGATGGGAGACACCATCCTCTCCACTGTCAAGAAGGCAGCCAGGTTGGCCGTGTAGGAGGAGATGATGATGAGGGTGAAGAACCACCACACACCACCTACGATACGGCCTGACAGTGACCTGCGAGAGGGATGTCGTTGAGAGGGAAACACAGCGTGTGATCACACAGTGACATGTGGTGTCCATAAAACTGCTCACATCTGACAGTTGTGTGTGTGTGTGTGTGTGTGTGTACTAATTACACCACGGATCAGAATTTTCTGGCAAATCATTAAAACAAATCCAGTTTTGGGTTAGAATCTCTAAAACAACAAATAGAAACAATTACTTGGAATGTTCTCAAATCCCACTCTTTAAAGGTCTGTTAAACTAATTGTATCAAACACGATTATAAAAAGTGAGTCATTTCTGTAATGACATTTTTTTCCCATTTAACTGACAAACTTAATAGCACATACTGTATAAAAAGACAGAGACAAAAAACAATTTCAACTAATTTAAAACTAAAGAGAATAGTGTTGTATTCATAGATTCATAACTTATAACTTATCATAACTTAACTTTTCATAGACACTTGACAGTATCTGAAACCTCCAGAAATGCATGCTGGGTGTTGAGATACTATTTGAAGCTTGTGCTGCTTCGTTGAAATGAACACGGTGGAATTATTGGATATAAACTGCGATTAATGGCTAATGTTCCACAGCCCTATTACCTCGTTACTTATTATTTTATACATTTTCTACCACTTTTTCCATTCCTTGTGTCCACATGAGTCCACCCACCTTGGGGAGATGTCACATCCCTGCTGCATGAAGGCGCCGAGTGAGAACCAGAGAGAGTTGAAAATGCCAAAGTCGTTGGGAGGATCAGGGGGAGTCTGGGGATCTTTGGTCTCGTCCTGTTCCTCCAGGTTCCACTCGTAAGGACTAAAGCGGCTGACCAGGAACAGGACCACGCTCACGCCGATGTAAGCGAACACTATACACATCCAGATCTCGTAGGCCAACGGGTCCAGGAAGGAGAAGACACCGGGCTTGGACTTTTGGGGCTTCTTTATCATAATGGAGATGCCCAAGCTCATAAATGGCTTGGAAAAGTCTATCACCTCCTCTCGAACCAGAGTAATGGTGAGAGGCGCAACAGCTATATCTGCTCTCTGGAAACAGGCACAGGCACAACGACCATTAGTACTGACCTGCACAAAGAAGTACTTGATCATAACTTATACTTTTGTTAGAAGGCTTGGACTGCAGGAAATAAAAAGATTCACAGACAGGAAATGCAGAGTGACATTTACACAAGGGTTCTGGAAGATTAAGATGAAAAAAATAAATAAATCAAGTTTAAACAGTTGCTAAGTTTTTAGGCGAGAAGAAGGAGAAGCTCACGGGGCCTTAGACTTGGAGAGAGAGAGACAGCTTGGGGAAAAAAAATTCACCAAGACAGATGGTGGTTGACGTCACGTCGGACCAAATGTTTCTTTACTCAGGATTTAAGGAGAAACGGTGGATGGATAATTCCAAAATCAACCAATCTTTTACAGTATTTTCAAACGGCCACATTCAGCAGGTGTCCTGACACCTGTGCTGCATGTGTGACCCCGGACTCTGCACCTCTGTCACATCCCATACAGCGGGCTGGGTTTGTGGTTCTTTTTGTTTTGTTTTTTTTTAAAGCGGACTCTTTTGCTCTGTTCCTTCAATTCAATCACATTATGTTATCAAAACACGCGCAGTGAAGTGGAGCTGCCTTTTTAACCACAATTGGAGGAACAAAAGGGAAAATAATTAATCACACAAGACAACGTTACCGCAGCTACAGTCAATGATTAATTAAATAAGGGTTTTCTTCAAAGGAGCCGCTCAACGAAGAACAGTTGGATTTCTTTCTTTTCTCTCTTTTTTTAAATCAGTTTTTGTCTTGCGATGTTGAAACTGAGAAAGCCTCGCACCGCGGCAGCAAAAGGCAAAAAAAAAAAAAAAAGAACAAGGTTAAACTAAGAGCAACACAAACAGACCCAATAAACATGAGTGTTTTTTTTTTTGTCCTATCGACACAGCGTTGAGAAGGGCTATAACCATTTAATCCTAGTGCAGGCGTAAGCAACACTCAATCAATGGTGAGGGAAACAAGGCAATAAAGTGCAGCCTTGGGCCTAACATTTGAAGACGACTAAAATCAAATTAATTTGCCGGGCGAAAGGTCAAAATGTGTAAAACTATTAGTCCCGGCCCACCTGCTGTAAAATCGCAGGCCTGTAAAGACTTGACAGTGACATAATGGAAGTATTTTTTTTTCTTCCACCTTCCATTTGCAGACAGTGGACTTTTCCCATTTGAAGATAATTTGGTGGAGATAGCACATCAAACCAGGCAATCTCTCCAGCTGATAGTTGGGAAATTGAACAGATGAGGAAGACGAAGCCCTCATCCAGTTTGCATTTGGCCCCCAGTTCAACTGTTGTGGCCTCAGCGAAAGGCGGACGGGGGTCGGGGGGGGTTTCAGAAAAGGGGTAATTTGGAAATGCTTAAGGTGCTGCGAGAGCCCTGTCAGATGTAAAACACGGCGTGACCCCTGGCTAATGCCGCGGGCTCGACCTCGACGGAGCACGACACACATATGGATCTTGTTGTTTCAAACCACAAGACCGCCGTTTAGCTGTTGATTCTGAAGCACATTCTCTCAGCTGTGAATTTACAGTGCAGTATATTCATCATACACATCAAACAATGAACATAATTACACAATCACTTCAAAGGCATACAATCTTTCATTCATCAAAGTGATTACAGTGTGTTTGCCATATGGACTCATTGTTTTCATGTACCTACCTCTGCTTCAGCTGTGGGAGAGAGAGAAGCAGTCCTCTGCTTCAGCTGTGGGAGAGAGAGACTCAGAGAGAGAGAGACTCAGAGGGAAAAAGAAAGGGAGAGAGAAACTGAGAGAGAGTGAGGCAGAAGAGAGAGAGAGAGAGAGAGAGAGGAAGAGCAGTATCTAGGCTAAGCAAAATAGATTAATTGCAATGAACAGCACTGAGAAATGATTTCATTTTCTCCGTCTCAAGATGATCACCAACTCCCTAATGCTTGAGGCTGCATTTTTGCAAATTCACGCACAGCTGAGCTTCCTGAGACAGCGTCAGACTTTGAACTGGGCTGATGAGTTCACACTGGGTTGGTGATGACCTTAAGACAGAAAAATGAGATCTCCTCTCATGTTGAAGTTCTATGCAAACTGCCATGTAATCAGTGAAACCGAGGCTCCCTGTACTCACCCCATAGACCAGTTCACCCACCATCCCGTTCCACGTCTTGGTCTCGGGGTCTCGGGCTCCATACTTCCCATCCATTACTATAGACAGTTTGTACTTAATTCCAACATGTTTGGCAATCTCAGATGCTAAATCGACGCAGTAGCCTTCATATCTGTCATTCCCCTCCAGATGCATATAATTTTTCTTGTACATCACATAAGGAGCTTCCTGTTGATTTAAACATAGACTGGTTTATACACTCCCATGCCCCATCACACGGTCTCTTACACAGAAATGTACAGACATGCACTCACGTGTTCCCATGCACACACACAAACACACTCTCTCTCTCTCACACACACACACACACACACACACACACACACAGATTGAACATCGTTAGCAGCTATAACCTCATGCACGCCATCATGCGTATAAAGATGATGCCCTGCAAATGCACAAATATGGTCTTATAACAGCAGGTGGTCGTGACGTCCCACCGCTCTTATTAAGCCACGGCAGCCAGCAGACACCATGCCCAATGCACCCAACCCATTTTGAGCCCAAGGGCGGCAACAGTTTGACGTAAGACCAAGGAAGGTTCCAGAAAAAAGGAGAGAGCAAAGATTGACCTCTCAGAGAGGGAGAAAACAAAAAGGCCCGGAATGAGTTTTAGCAGGGCGGAGAGTCATTGGTAAGCAAGGTGTGGGTCAGCTGGGAGGGTGGGTGGGGATGGGAATGGGGGATGGTTTCATAAGTAAATGCCAGTGACAGGTGAGGGATCAGAAAGTGCTCGTTGTATCTCAACATATTCAAGCAGATTGCACCAGTGCGCAGTTTAAGGCTTCATCATTCCAAAAAAAAGAAAAGAAAAAAGAAAGGAATAGAAATGAAAGAAAATGACCCTGTATTTTCTATTTAAAAAAAAAAGAAAGAAAGAAAAAAAAGAATATTTAAATAAATAAGTCACACTGGGAGAGCAGGAGCGTGCTAGATTTACACTACTTTTCCAAAGGCTGGTGCAGCTTTTCTCCCTCTGAGCACATCATCATTAACAAACAATAGGACTGCTCGGGAGAGTAGGCATTGTCATTACAGCCACACACAATTAGAGTGCAAGTAGGAGAGCAATGGTTTGTTTGTTCTGTGCTGAATGTATCCCCTCACCTTGACTCCACTCAGTGATTCCCATGAGTTAACGTTTGCCTTCTACTTGACTGAACTCCTCCACCAAAGATGGAAACTGTTTCTAATTTGCCAGTGATTCCATCAAAACTACTGTATGTTTTACTTAAAGAAAAATCATATCAAATATTGGTCTCCATGTTGTTAAAACGTTTCCTCAGACCATCTGATTAGTATACACACAGGTACATTCAGCTGTATGACAATTTTATGCATGAAGTAAATCTACAGTATTTTTGGTTTAGAACAGGAACAGCTTTGACAGGAAGTTATACTTCAACACAGAACACGTGTAAGGGCAAAGCAAAATAAATTGGAAAACTAATTGCAAGGTAAAAAAAAAAGAAGAAAAAAGAAGGGAAAAAAAAAGAAAATAGGAAAAAGCTTCTTGTTCCTTCTCCAATTCTCTTTATTTTGCTTTGCCCGGCTGGAGAAACCATTGCAGTGTCATCCTCTTAGTCATTCTTCGGCCAGTCTCAATCCCAAGTGTCATTGAACATTTACTTGATGAGGACAAACAGGTTTACTTACGTATGCAGAAGTATGTGTTTTGTAATTGATGGAGTCAACCATTATCATAAACAGTATACCATTATTGTGATGTCACTGCTACGACAGGCCACTGAAGTATGGAAAAACAAAATGCTTTGACACCCACACGGATACAGTTGAAACACTCCCCCCGGGTCTGGATCGACTGTTTCAACGTGTAGTGAGTGGATGGAAAGCAACACAAAAAAGATGTGGTTCTACCCGCCCAGGACAGAATGTATCACTCATTGGCATCAACACCATGACCTTGAGTGGCAGAATACGTGACACATTTAAAACTGCGTGGAAAGTGTACCATAATAGTAGTGACCACAATCGTTCGGTTTTCCACTGAGGAGTCGTTGGAGACCTGCGGGTCCATAATATTTACAAATCGTGTGTACTCGTTCCAGTACCCAATCTGCAAAGAGAAAACATTGGTTAGCGGTGCATTCAAAACCCAACAACTGTACAGAAGAGGCACATCTGTTCATCACAGGGAGCTGCCATGACAGTAGCTTCATTAAAAAAAAACCCACTGCATTTTTAAAGAACTGTTCTTTCTTCCCATGAATTTCAAACAAAGATAAAGAACAGAAACACAGAGTACAGATGTTATATGAGCAGCTCAGAAATTCAAATACATTTGAAAAAAAGCGTGTTCATTTGTCAGCGTATTAAATCGACTGTCAATTTGCCCCACATTAATATACGGTTGTCCAAAGAACCAATTATTCAGGAATTGAACCGCAGCAACATAAAGCACACAGCCACCCAGGTCCAATGGTAAATATTTGATACTGAGGCCCGTATACTGCATACATACATAGTCATTTACAATATTATCCCAGTAGCTCTGATGGTTTCCCATGCACGGTCCTGCCTTTGCAGTCTGCATTCTGCTGTACAGATGCTTAAGTCAAACCAATGTCAAGTGTTTGTTTGCCCATTTGAAATAATGGCTGCTCTGGCTCATGATGAAACGTGTTGTGTATGCGGCTGCCAAACGTTTAACTGTTGCTGGCCAGGATTTTTTTTTCCCCACATCTGGTCTGCATTTTTTTTTTTTTGCCTCAGATCTTAAAATGTTTGAGGTCTGACAGGTGTACTGCAGAGTTTACAACCACCAAATGGAGGCGCTAGAAAGCAGCAAAACCTCCTAACTTGAGCTGCAGTGACACTTGTGGATGTAGTTATTGTAATTGCCACACTGGAGAAAGGTTGATTTTTTTTTATTTTCTTCACCCGCCGCCCCCCCCCAGCTTTTCACCGACAGTGATATTTGAGAAGTGCAGCTTGCGGGAGCAGGACTGTGGGGAGCTGTGTCATGGAGTGCTGCTCCAGAGGCAAAGTCCTGATCTCACTTTGAGCAGCAGGAACAGAGATCAGCCCATACATCACCAGTGACAATCACAGCAGAGATCCCTCATCCTCTCACTGTCACCAGGGTGAGTGGGGGCCCCGGGCTCTGACAAACTGCTGGCTGGCTCGTCTCATCATTCAGCTCCTCCTCACTCTCTCCCCCTGACCTCCTTTCTCCCCCTTGCTCCATACATCCCACTTGTCTGTTTGTTTGTGTGGCGTGGGGGGAGGAGAGAGAGAGCTGCAATGGCTGTGTGATGCTAATTGAAGAGTGGGCTTAAGGCGCCTGGAAGGCAGCGGGCATAATCACATGTCATAACAGACTCTGCCCACACTAACTCAGATATAACAAGGAATTCACAGCTGTCCTTTTCCCCAAACCTGGCAACATTCCTGGGCACTGGTTATAATGGGAACAGACCAGTGGGAATTATTGTTTTAGGGATGAGACAGAGCAGGGATTCTTTTTGCAGTAATTAGTTATTTGAATTGTAATTGGAACCAGGTCGGGGTCAAACACCATATCTGAGTGTCATTCTTCTGTTAGGGCAGTTTTAGCTATCGGATCGCAGGCGGCCTGTGATTTGTGGGCCTTTAATGCTTGGCATTACTCATCAGTGCTGCTACCTAAAAGCGTACAAAGCCAAGTGCAGTCACTCTGTTCTCAGTCGCACTGGTCCCTTGTGACTGGAAATGGTTCAATACTTAATTAAATGAATTAACAGAAAACCTGGCAGATTAAAAAAAATCTATTTCAAATTCTGAAATGATGCCTGAAACACACTTCAAAATGTAGAGACACGGCCATATAAAGATCGTTCTAGTAACTTAGTAAAAGGTTTAGGATATCAACAAGGAAAGGTCAGTTCAGTCTCATCACTTTATGCTAATTGTAGCAAGAGGACGTTAATAGAAAGAAACACCGTTTCCAGAGTAAGAAAGCAAAAGGTTTGTTTGCATTGATGGTCAATAACTCAAGAGAGTCAAGAGAAATGTATTAAGAGTAAAACAAAAGACTGTATTGGAATTTTTAGCTAGCAGAGATGCTAAGCACCATGTTACTTAGCTACATTAGGAAATCATCATTGACTAACACTGTGTGTACAATACAGAAAGGAAGCCATACATATTTTGTCAGGTAAATCAGTGGTAAACACATATGTGCATATATATATATATATATTCTTTTCAGAGGCACGTCTTCCCTAGGGGGCGCCAGAACACTTAAGTGGAATTAGACAAAATGTTTTAAATCAAAATTAGCTACATTGAGTTACGGGTACAATTTTTAGCCAAACAAATGGAATCATTTACCATTAATTGATATATTATTATTTATCTTTTAATTGATATTAATGGTTCAAGAACATTTTTTAAGTGTGTTTTGTACATTAAAGGTTTCATTTTTCCTCTTTCATCATAATCACAGGCCTCTCACCAGGGCTCACTGACCTCACACGGTGATTAACTGACCTCACACAACGACACTGGTGTAACAACACATGTGGACACCATCCTTGGAGTTTTGTTCTCTGCTACAGAAAATCAATAAATCATTTAAAATTATGAGCCGACCAGACCTCTTTATTTTGACATGTATGGGACCGAACCCTGATGTGTGCCAGCTGTTGGCCGCGTCTTGATAAAGAACAGGTCGTTTTATTAGCTCTGATGCGACAGTGTGATGAATGAGCGCTGACAGAGGTCACCGCTCCGTCTTACCTTCCTCGGCCCTCCTAGTTTCATCTCATAAACATCGATGGTGAAGTTGGTCCTGCGGCCGTAGTTGTCGAACTGGATGTTGCCGGTCATACCCTGCACTTGTACCTGCCATGAGGGGCAGAAAGACACAGGAGGAAGTGTGGTAACCATCACTTTGCATATAGAGCTGTTGTTAAGGTGCTGGTGTCTGTGGAGCTACTGGAGTGTGCTGGGTCTCTTCATCAAATGATGAACTGGATACGCTTTAATAAAAGATGTAGTTTTATGGTAATGAGAGCCTGGATTTGAGCGAGCTCCACGCACAGATATCTAGATGCAGGAGTAGGGGGCTGGGAGGGGGGTGCAGGTCTCTGCTCTCCTCCCTTCTCTCTGTCAATTCCCATCTTTATCACACACTCACTCTCTATCTCTGCTTCATTTTGTTGGCCTTTTCTTTACTTATCTGCTTTTCACTTTATCTCTCTCTCGCTCTCTCTCTCTCTCTCTCCCCCCCTACCGTTTTCAGAGCTCTCTCAATGTCAATGCCTTGGCTCCAGGGCACGGCGGGGGTGGGTTAACAGTCCCCCGCACCCCCCCCGGGGGAA